CCCCCCCCAGCGGGAGGGAAGAGCGAGGGGTGAGGGGTCGGGGAAGGCGCACCTCCAAATTCGGCACTTCGGACTCCTCGGACTCCTCGGATTCCATTTCGCCCTCGCCCTCGTCCTCGAACTCCTCTTGGTCGGCTTCCGAGCCCTGGAAGCGGCGAATGAGGTGCTGGAGCAGGTAGGAGGAGGACTCCCGGTAAGTGCCTTTCGATCGCTGCCCCATGGGAAATGACGCCCAGCGATCTTTATCCGAGCGAAACAGTATCGCTTGGGCTCCGCTTCTAGAAACGTTCACGCCTCCCTGGAGAGAGGTAGGCCTCGGCCTCGGGGGATCGCCCCCGGAGGTCGCCATCTTGTTTACCCCAGGTTGCCTAGGAGACTGGCCCCCAGGGAGGAGGCGCCGCAAGGGGTTCTGGGGGCTGTAGTCTTCTCCCTCCGGAGTCCCAGCTCTCCGTGGGCTCCACCGCAGGCACGCGACTTTCTTTTTTGTCTGCCTCTTCTTTTTGTTGTTTTTGTTCTTTTTAGTGCATTCGTTCTCTGGCTTTGTTTCTTTTTGCTGGTCTTTCTCGTTTTCACCACTTTTATTTTTTTATTTTTGTTAATCCTTGCATGAGGATATTTTTCCCATTGATTTTTTGGAGACAGTGGAAGGGGGAGAGAGGCAGAGAGAGAAACACTGATATGAGACAGACACATTGATTGGTCGCCTCCCACACGTGTCCCAACCAGGGCCAGGGATTTCCTGCAACCTAGGTCCATGCCCTTGACGGGGAATCAAACCTGTGACCCTTGGGTGGTGGGGTGACGCTCTAACCACTGAACCAAACTAGCTAGGGCTCACCTCTTTTTTACACACCCCTTTTCTTTGTGTCCAACTCTGTTTCCTCCAGACCTCGAAGACCCTCTTAGAGATTTTTCATCCCACCCAAGGTCACCTGTGAGCCCCACTGTTGCATGCACGAAGGCTCTTTCTGCAGAGTCACACCTTGGAGGTGTTAGATGTCTAACACTCTGTCCGAAAGCTACTAACACTGGAATTTTACTCTCCGCAGAGCACGGTGTTAAGAGATGAGGGTTTGCATAAATGAAATAAAAGGCATGGCTCCCAACCTTATGGCTTAATTACAGATAATAAAGAGAAACTAGCAGTCAACAACTGAAAGCTGATTTGCAATTAATTTACATTTTTCCCTGAGACATGATAAGCCCTGTCCTTGGGGAGAAAAACTGGCAGTGGTCGAACAATCCAATCCAGAGAGAGAGGGGGAAAAATGACTGTCAAATTGACACTGTATCTGAGAGCTTCTGAAAAGCTATTAGCATCCCATAAATAATTGTATTAGTCAAGTGACCTGCACTGGTTATTATCTTTGTCTTTTTGCATAGGTTCTCTTTGCAGTTTCATAAAATACTCTTGTAAGATTACAAAGTGTGATTTTATGCTAGTGTGATTTTATGTGGCCCAAATCCCATTGCCTTAAGCTCCACCAAGTAGACACTCTATAGAAAAGCAGAATGAAAATTGTAGTAACTATTTTTGCCATCTTGATGACAACAGAGATCCTTGCAGGGAAGTGTACTCATCGGCCTGGCCTTACAGGGCCTTTTGTCCATGCTTCAGTGATAGCAGTTACAAATAGAAAATGATCCTGCCAATGGCTGTCAGGGGAAGAGAGAAAAATCCTATGGATACCGTCCATTGACTATTATCTTTCTCAGTGCTTGAGGGGCCATTAAAACAGACATAAAGCTTTCAGAATTACCTTCCTTCATTATCTTGCTAGTCATAAATGTAAAGGCCACAATGAAAGTATCTTTTTCTGCCATGCTCATCTTTGCAGCTTGCTTATTTCTTTTTCCAGTGGGTAGAGACTCCTCCAAGGCGTATTTCCCCACCTTCACCCCCTTAGGACCTGGCTGTAGCTAACTGGCATTAGGAAGAGGGGGAGAGAATATATAAAAATGGAAACCCAGTGTGTGTCCCCCACCCAATAACTTAACATTTGTAGCAAAGCAAATTTTGCCAATATCAATCTAATAAGGAACGCATCTTAAGTCAGTCAGTTAGGACCTGTCAGAGGATAATTTTCAAAGAGTTAAATATATAATTCTCATACAAAAAACAGAATGAAATGACTTTATTCAACTCATTAATGAGGAAACGAGTGTGATGGTAATAGGGTATTCATAATCCACAAAGAAAGATATCCCGAAATAAATTCACTAAGAGATAAAACTGGTTAATGCCTTTCAGGACATTAAACTAGAGCCTTTGGGGTTATATATTTCTAAGCATTTTGTCTCTTTTCATCTTCATGTCTATCCTTTGTCTACTCCCATTTGACAGGTGAGGTAACTGAGGCCCAGGTAGCTGGCCCAAAGTCAAGTGCTGGTGTTGAAATCCAAACCTAGAACAGCCAGCTCCATAGTCTACCTTCAACAACCACTTTTGCAGGTGGAAAATATGAGGCAAGAGAAAGCTTCTGACAAGAAGTCTCATAAGAAAACACATGTATCAGTTAAGGTTCTTAAGTATCAGTAAAAGAAATCATCAAGAGAATGACCCTTCATATACATCCACAGCATATCAGAACTAGAAGGAACTTCAAAGCCCATCTTTTCCCAACTTTTCCTTTTACGGAAGAAACTGATGGCCCTCCAGGGGCAACACCTCCCCCAAACCGCCCGACTCGTTAGCAGCTGAGCAGGAATTAGAATCTAGACCTCTTGTTGCTCCATCTTTGTTCTTGCTGGTTCATGAAAATGCTCCCCAGGCTGAAATTTTATCAATAGAATCCCTACTTTGGGATTCTGGGCACCAAAATTGAGGGCATTTGTTTCTATAAAACAAAATTATTTCTAAAAGTTATTTTAACAGATAGAGAAGACAGAATTAGGCAAAGGAGAGGAGGTGTTTTCCTGTTAGCACAAAACATCAATAATCACTTCCATTTATGCACTGCTTATTGTAAACCAGGCCTATGCTGACTGCTCTGTAGACACCTCAGTTGATTATTCCAATTGTTCTCTGAACTAGGAACCTATCCCCCAGTTTACCGAGGCAAAGAACGATGCCCGAAAATGCTAGCAAGTTGCCCAGATACACTATTTGTGTCCAAATCAAAACTCCAACTCAGGTCTTCTGGGATCCAAAGCCCCCGAACTTAATTAGTACTTTCTTTTCTCTAGAAGTCTGAATTAGTTTCTCAGGAGCAATTGTGAGGTACAGAGAGCCTGGCCCTTGGCCCAGGTGAGATACTCTGTGTGTGTGTGTGTGTGTGTGTGTGTGTGTGTGTGTGTGTGTACACGTGTGCACACGTGCTGGGGGGCAGGTTCCTGGGGCCAGGGAAGTGGAGTAGGGGGGGCAAAGGCAATGGGATATGATCATCCAGGCGACAGGCTCCTCTGATAGCTCCGGATCCTCACCTACTTGGGTGAGAGGAAAGAGAAGGTGGGAGAGTCGCCTTGACACCCGAGAGGACATCCAGGAGAGGCTGTCGGGAGGGGAGAATCACAGGAGTAAAGAGCTTCAGGTCGAAAGGGGCAGACCACCCTCAGCTCCCAGGCAACTTTGCCCCGGGAGCACTATCCACCCTTATCCCTAACTTTTCTGTGCGGAGCAGGGGCGTCTGACAGCCTGGAGCCAGTGCCTGACGCAGGGCCTTACTCGCTGAGAATGGGCAGGAAAGGCAGGGACGATTTGAAAGGTCTGTTTTCTGTACTTGGGAAGACAGTCTTCCCAGGAGTGCAGACCTTGGGCAAAGCAAAGAATGTGTGCCCCTGCCCCTTTCACTTACCTACACCCGCTCCCCAATCTTGTGTAAAGGAAAATGAGATGGCAGCGTCTTGAACTCATGATGTTTTCTGTGGAACACTATAAGTTTTACAGAATACCATGAAATTGGGAGAGCAGACAGGCCATGGAAGGCACCACTGATATAATGGTAACAATGGAAACACAACCAGAAACAATGTTCGTGAGTAATTTCTATGTGCCAGGCACCCAGCCAAGTGCTCTGCATGCATTCGCTCGCTTTAGCACCGTGTGCACCCTGGAAGGTAGAGATTAATATTCTTAGCCCTATGTAACAGACGAGGGAAGACAGGGACCGATGGGTTATGTAACCCATGCAACCCACTTTGGCACACAGTGGCAAAACCAGGACTTAAACGGAGCCTGGTTTCCCAGCCCACATCCTAAACCAAAACACTGTAGGGTCACTGGACTCCTGTAGTAAAACTTTATGGAGGAGGATATAGACCGAGCTTTTGTGTTCCACGCCCCTCCCCAAAGGCATAGGTCGAAATCTAATTCCCAATGTGATGGTGTGAGGAGGTGGGGCCTCTTGGGGTGATCAGGTCGTGAGGGTGGGACCCCCATGAATGGCATTAGAAGAGGCCAGAGAGGCACCCCTTTTTCTGCCATGTGAAGATACAGGGAGAAGGTGGCAGTCTGCACCCCAGAAGTAGGTCTTCCCTGGAACCTGAACGTGGCACCCTGATCTTGGCCTTCCAGCTTCCAGAACTGTGAGATGTGAATTTCTGCTGTTTATAAACCACCCTGTCTGTAGCAACCCAAACTGACTAAGACAGAGGAGAACCTTGGCTTCAAGAAAATTCAGTGCATTAATGTTTCTTCCTTTTATGTTTAGTTATCCCTTTCTGTGAGGAAAGGATGTTTCTTCATAAGGAAGCAAGTTTCTTATCTAACAACAGCCTATTGGATCTGAAGAATTAAGCAAAATAATTACACAAATAATTATCTAATTTTAATTGCCATAAGGCCTAAGGAGGGAAAATAGAGGAGCCATGAGAACATCACCTGGTGGGGAAGGGTCCTTCAAAATGTCAGAGAGACACTTTGAGTCTCATGATGATTATCCAAAAATGTTGGGAAAAGACAGTACATCACTTGAGGAACTTCATTTGTTATCTTTGCAGAAATCACCTATAGTCAGATAATCATTGTAGTAATTAATTGGGCTGGCAGAGCCTGATAAGGCCCAGGCAGGACTTGACTGAGCCTAATAATACCTGTTCTAAGCAGATATCAAAGGCATTTGGTGGGGGTGAGGGGGTGGGGGCACCCACTAATAGATACCCTGGATCAGATATTGGTGTTGGGCTCAAAGATAAAAATTGTAGTCTCAGAAGAGATCATCAAAAAAGCTCACAGACAAAGGTAGGAAAATTGAGCCAACGAAGAGTTGTTGGCAAAGGAATTGCAAACATCAATCAAGTCAGTAATAAAATCTGAACAGAGGACTAGATACGATTACTGAGATTTTCTAGCTCAGATTACCTTCCCAGGCAGAAGGGGAATTTCAGCAGAGAAGTCACAAATTAAGATAAAAAACGATTCAAGTGTTAAAATGATGACCAGAAAGGGCTGTCTGAGATATTTTGGGAGAAGATATGAGGGCTTGAGGATGTTATGCTAGAATGTTCAGAAGATCAAAGAAGACCAGAAGGAATTCAGAA